GTGTGTGTGTGTGTGTGTGTGTGTGTGTGTGTGTGTGTGTGTGTGTGTGTGTGTGTGTGTGTGTGTGTGTGTGTGTGTGTGTGTGCGCGTGTGTGTTGAAAAGCCAAAACAATTATAAATGGAAATACTTTGTTAGATTTTCAAAAAGGTGTTGAATTTTCAAGAAATTATCAATGTATATGTTCTTTATATTCGTTATTAAAACCTGCAATATCGTTTTGAACTCACAAAGTTTCTTGACTATTGAGAAAATAATATCATTACTACAATGCCACGTGAAAATCTTTCTGCTGCGTCCGATTGTAGGAGCGCGCAATTGCAGCGCGTGTGTACTTTAACGATAGGTTTCAAACGGAAAAAAGGGAAACTCAAAATAGCCGTTGTCAGATAGGAGTCTCGCAGACTCCTGGGAACGTAGTTCCCGCCAATTTCTTGACGGGTGCTCGAGGCGGTGTAACGGCCGTTGGTCCGAGATACCTCGAAAGTGGCAGGTGCAACTCGGGCCAAACTTCATTAAACACAATCCCATCTGCGCCCTCATACTTCCAAGACGTCTCGTAGCCTCCGTAACTTTTTGAGGATGAGAGAAAAAGATAGGAAGAGAGAGAGAGAGAGAGAGAGAGAGAAGAGAGAAGAAAGGAGCCTTAGCAACTCCGGAACCTCCAATTGGCGTATCTGTTCTTCGTTTCTCTTCCTTCTTCTTTTATCTTTGCTCGAGAAAACAGACAGATTGACTTGTCCGACGCAATTGCTCGAAACTACACGCTCTGCGTGACAACAACTGAACCGTGACAGGTGTCTGTTCTCGAGCAACGAAAAAACTATTTAAAAGCTAGAAAAATACATTCATGAGAATGCACTAACAAGTCATGTTTAAACAATTTGTATATATATATATATATATATATTATCAAGCACCAAAATTAGGATTCAAAAACAGGATTCTTTATTTGATAGATTTTTAAATATTTCAGCAAAACCGTTTTTTTTTTCGTGTACAATTTATTTTCCGGTAGCGAATTTCAACGTATAATTTCGATGATTAGATAGCGATTGACCTTTAAAATTTAAATCGTCAAGAGTTAAATTACTCTCTACGTCCCGGTAATTGTTCAGCCTCCGTTTGCTAGATGAGCCCCTTAAGCGACATACGAGGAGATTCGTACTGTTTGCAACTCATTATCATACTAGTTTCCACTTTTGCTATCACTAGCACACCGTGTGTGGAGTAATGCCGTAGAAGGCCAACCAGGCGTCATATTCGCTAGTCATTCGCCTCGTTGCCATTGTGTATTCACTTAGCTTTCCCGTGCGTTCGTCGCGCAAGGTTAACGCAAACAGAGTTCCGACCTTTCGGTCTTTGTTTAAACAGACGCGAATAAATTATTCATGTTCAAATAGGAAACGATCCTGATTTTTTAAAAAAATCTTTCATTCGTTAACTATATCGATGAAAATTAAACCGAATGTCTTAAACATCGAATAATTTCTCGCCATAATAAGATGTCAAAATTCTAAAAAATCAAAAATATATTTCAATAATAATTATTCTTCAAACATTTATACGGTTTGTTACACACGTATGTGTCATTTAATTATAATTTTATTTGTGTGGTTTGAAGACTTACGGACGTCACGTCCCGCATACCAAAATATTTCGACACGGATCTCTAGTTTATTGTAACTTCCCTAAGTTCGTAAAATTTAAACGAGAACCCGAATGTGCTCGGGATGTCGATGCTGTTCTTAACATCGGTTAGACATCCGGCGGGGCATTGCTGGGTGCAACGATGGTTAATCCTTTGTTTGAATTATTCAGAGGTGCCTGTTGTATATAGTGGTAACATGCGCTGAGTATTTTCCGAAAAGAAACG